TTAAATGTAAGATACTCGTACCAAATAAAATATAAATGTTTCATTTGAATTTTTCTTGTTTTATTTTATTCCTATAAAATATTTTAAAGATTAATCTTTTTAGGTTTGTAGAAAAGTTTTGGAATTTAGAATTAATATTTTATATTTGGATTGATAAAAAATATAAAATTTATTTAGAATTGAAGATTGTTTAAAAATATTTTAAAAAACTTCTTGCAAATAATTTATTTTTACTTAGTTTCGGGTTGTTTTCCCCATCATCAGTCTGAACTATAAATTTATTAAAACTAAGCAAAACAGTTAAAATTTCATAACTTACTGTCAAACGAAAATTTAAATATCAAGCTGAATATTATTTATCTAAAATAAAATTACAAATGAATTTAAACGTTAAATGAATAGGGTCGACTTACATAATAAATCGAAAAAAACATTGTGACAAGAGCATAACTAAATAAAATTTTTTGAAATACAATTCCAAAGAAAATTGTTAAACAAGAGACAAACTAAGACTAAATAAAATGATGTATTTAGAAAAAATATTTTTAGATTGATAACTAATATTATTAAAGTTATGAGGTTTGCAGATTTTAGATTCTTTTTCCTGTTTTGAATATAGAGATATAGAGAATATAGAATATAGATTGAATATATAGATCAGTGTTAATATAAATTTTGTTAAAAAGTTTGTTAATTATTGTAGAAAAATTATTTTGTTTGGTTAAATTGTTATAATTAAATTCAAAAATTAATTAATTAAAAATCTGAAGTTCGCTAATTTTTGATTGAGAGGATGAACTGAATCATATGGTATAGTTTAGAGATAGTAGAAGGTTTCCTATATACAGGATGATTCAAAAAGCCGCTGACAGATTTCTAGAGTAGATAGTTTTTGATTGGATTAACAAATTTTCTACAAACGTTTTTACAAATGTTTTTCTTAAAAACTATTGCTTTGATCAAAGTTTTGTAAGAGACCAATTGACAGATAGTTGATTACTTTACACGAAAATACTGCCCGTCATACGGGTAAAATTAGCAATTGCGTAGACAATATTTTTGAAAAAGGGCTTTCTATTGCAGATAATGTTTAATTTTAAAGAAACTTTGACCCGCTATATCTCGTTAAGGAGGCATTTGCGACCCCCTGTATATTAAGACTTTTCATCTTAATTTTTGATGTATTACCTGCCCTATAACTCCCTATAATATTCTATTCTACCATCTTTTGAATGTCTTAGAGTTAAATCAAGAAAATTAAGTGTTTTGTTATTTTCTACTTCGATGGTGAAATGTAGATTTTTGTGAAGGTTATTTAGATATTTCAAAAATTTAAGAGCATTAGCCAGACACAAAACACATCGTCTATCATTAACAATGTTGCTATTCTCAATGTGGTCAAGAAAGATGTCAGCTAATACACCCGATAAAGGCATACTCATGGGAAATATTTCTTTGATTTGGTAAAATACATTGCCAAAAGTACAATGATTTTGAGATACAATGTGTTTAAGCATAGTATTTAAATGATGAACCTTTTCTTCACTGTCTTTAAAGAAAGCAGAAAAGAGTTGATTTGCCAAACTTAGGGTCAATTTTATGGGAACGTTGGAATACAAGTTAGTAACATCAAACGAGGTTAATATTTTGTTTTTGTAATTGATATCTTTGGTCTGTTCAATGAATTGAAGAGGATTTTGAAGTGAGTGTTTTGGCTTGAAATTGATTGTTCTCAATATATTAAGCATAAAGTTAGCTAATTTTTGTGTTGGAGAATTCAGAAAAGATGTTATAGGACGTATGGGTATTCCTTCTTTATGTAAGAGCTTTGGGATTATGGGATTCATATATATAAAATGCGATGTGTAAAATTGTTTTAAGTTTGAGTTTTTCAGATATGGGGTCTGTTCTATTAGAGTATTCCTTGCAATATGGAGTGTGTTCAATCTTAGGGTATCTTTGCATAAAAAAATAAAAGTTATTGTCTGGTTCAGATCTGGTTCATCTCGAAATTCTAAACAAAATTCATGTAGCACATAAACCTCTTTGTGCAGTTTCTTCTCTGATTTGTAGAGGTCTCACAGTGTTTGGTTTAGCACCAACCTTTTTCATCTTGCGAACTCAAAACACTTATAAATCAAAAAAAAATTTACAAACCCCATGTCTAGTTGTTACATAGAGAATAGATATGATATAGATAATACATAGTACATAATACATAATATATAGATAATACAGAATCAGATTAAATGCAGAATCTGATTTTGTATTTATCTTTCAAGTAAGTATATGTGGAAAATCCTTTCTTACATAGACATGTTGTGCAAAATGGTAATAAAACTTTGATAGATTTTTCTGTCAAAATATTATACTTTGTATACTTTCGTACTCATTCATCTGCAGACATTAGATCTAAGAGTTAATCTTTTTTAGCTTGGATTTAATTCTATCATGCACACCGAAGATGGTGACACCTGTGCCTTGCAGTGATAAATTTAATTTATTTAATTTACAAAATATATCAGCTAAATATGCAATCTTTTGCAGCTAAAGAATATCAGATAGACAAGAAGATAAATGAAATGGATGGTCAGGAAGAAATGCTTGAACTTCAGATTTTAACTCAAACAAACGTCTCAAAACTTTGCCACGGGAAAGCCATCTAACATTCGTATGAAGTAATAACGAAACGTGAAGGCTTCCAAAGTCTTCACAAAGCACATGAAATAGACGGGAATTAGTAGATGGCGATTTTATAAAGTTTACAATTTTTACAGCATCACTAAAAGTAGTAGATAGTTCACTAAGAATACGCTTACATGCCAATGCTTGTCTATGTATACAGCAATGTGTCCATTCAATTGTTTCATTGATCTTTTTTACCCATACCACAAACCCAGAAAAATTTCCTGTCACTGATTTTGCACGCATCCACACAATAAGACCAGTTTATTCAATTTTTTTCAAATCATATCAAATATTGCTTCTCCAGTTGTATAAGTTTTTAAAGGTTTTGCAAAAAGCACACCTTCCTGAATGGAATTCTGAAAAGTGAATCTAACATACACAAGCAATATTGTAGCGTTTGCTACATCGGTTGACTCGTCAAGCTGGATCGCTGTGAAGCTCATTCTTCACATTACTTGCCATATCATAAATTCTACTAAATTCTTCTATGTATTAGTTGATAAAGAAACTAGATTAAATTTTGTTGATGCCTTTTCTCCAAGCATATACTACTTTGCAATATCTTTTGCACATGGTCCAATTAAATTTTCTGCAATTGTATGTGCCTGTTCAGATTTTGCAATTCTATAGCTTACTCGAAATGATGCCTCAAGCGCCATTTTTGTATCTTCTTTTGAAGCTGACAGAAAAGAAGATACACTACTNCGTATACTTTGCAATATCTTTTGCACATGGTCCAATTAAATTTTCTGCAATTGTATGTGCCTGTTCAGATTTTGCAATTCTATAGCTTACTCGAAATGATGCCTCAAGCGCCATTTTTGTATCTTCTTTTGAAGCTGAGAGAAAAGAAGATACACTACTCTTTCTATAATCAGCAAATTGTTTTCTAAAATACTCGATAGGGTTATCCTTGTATGTCGGATGTTTGATTTCGAGGTGTCGACGAAGAAGTGATGGTTTTAAGTTGCTCTTAGTAAGCACTTCATTGCAAATTACACAAAGCTAATATGGAAAGAATTATTAAGGCTCAAGCACTTAGAGATACTTCCACTATGGGATATATGTCTGCTAAGAAACATTTAGAAATTAATCCAGATCATCCAATTGTGGAAAATTTGAGACAAAAAGCTGAAGTTGATAAAAACGACAAAGCTGTAAAGGATTTGGTTATTTTACTCTTCGAAACTGCTTTATTGAGTTCTGGATTCACTTTGGATGAACCTCAAGTTCATGCTTCTAGAATTTACAGAATGATCAAATTGGGTCTTGGAATTGATGAAGATGAAATGGTTGTGGATGATTTGCCGGCTGGAGATGCACCCACCAAAGAGGGTGAATCTGAAGATGCTTCTCGTATGGAAGAGGTTGATTAAGATGTTGGGTTTGAAGAGATTTAGAAGAATTAAAATTCAAGAAGAATGAT